TTTTTTTTTTTTTTTTTTTTGGTTTTTCGAGACAGGGTTTCTCTGTGGCTTTTGGAGTCTGTCCTGGAACTAGCTCTTGTAGACCAGGCTGGTCTCAAACTCACAAGAGATCCGCCTGCCTCTGCCTCCCGAGTGGCGTGCGCCACCATCGCCGGGCCCTCAGAAGTTCTTTTATTGTACATGATTGTTTTGGCTATCCTGGGTTTTTGCTTTTCCAATATGAAGTTGAGTACCATTCTTTCAAGGTCTTTGATGAATTTTGCTGGGATTTTGCTAGGCATTGCATTGAATCTGTAGATTACTTTTGGTAAGATTGCCATTTTTATTATGTTAATTCTACCTACCCAAGAGCATGGGAGATCTTTTCACTTTCTGGTGTTTTCTTCAGTTTCTGGTTTCTGCCTATTTCCTTTGATGTCCCAGACCAACAACACCTGGACCTGCAGAGGTCCCAGACTCACACCTGGAACCACTGAGATCTCTAATTCCTGCCTACTCCCTAAGAGGTCCCAGAGTCACACCCAGACCCACAGAGGACCTGGCTCAGGCCTATTTCCAGGGAGGTCCTAGGCTCACGCCCAGACCCACAGGGTCCTGGCTTAGGTCTACTCCCTTGACTGTCCCAGATTCACATCCGGACCCTCAGCCGTCTCTGTATCTGGCTCACTCTATCAACTCCCCTGTACCTTTTCTGGTTGAGTTTGCTGTTTTAGGTCTGCCAGTGTCCCTGTACTTAATTTGTTCCTGCTCCTGTGGAGCTTGCTTTCTCAGGCCCACTTTGTCCTATGTAGCTGGTTCAGTCCTATTCCTGTGGAAATTGTTGCATCAGGCCTACTTTGGACTAGGTTCTTGGCTTTGTCCTAGTTCTGTAAATTTTGGTATGGATTTGCTCTTGTAGAGCTATTTAAGGATTTTTTATTTTGATTAGGTTCTCTTAAATTTTTTGAAACCCCTGTCAAAACTCTTAGGGTATAAACATTTTTCACATTAGGATTATTCTCTTTTTACTATTTAATAAAAAATACTTGTTTCTTGTTGTTGGTTTTTTGTTTGTTTGTTTGTTTTCTTTGTTTCTTTGTTTTTTGAGACCAGGTCTCTCCTTGTAGTCTGGCTGTTCTGGAACTTGCTCTGTAGACCAGGCTGTTCTTGACCTCACAGAAATCTGCCTACCTCTGCCTCTGTGCTGGGTTTAAAGGAGTGTGTCACCACTGCTGTACCAAATACTTATTTCTTTCAGGCTTGTATGTGTAGTGTAAGGGCAATACCAGGTCAGCAATGCCATTTATAAAAAAAATAACATTTAAGACAAAAATAGAGCTTTAAGTATCTCCCCTTTTGGCCACTCTGTTTATCATTTCCCAAGTAAATAAAGAACCATTATTTCTTTTGACATGCTCCGTTGCTGTTCTGGTCTTCATGGATATAAATGGAAATATATTTTTGAAATTTTTTGTTTACAATATTCCAAGTTCTACTATATGTGTTCATTCAACAAATATTTCTTGAAAACTTTCTGTGCCAATTGTTGGTTACGTGGTGTTGACCTCTTAGAGCCTACACACTAATGGGTGGGGAAAGAATACAGACATCAGAGGGTAATGTGGCCTGGGATTTCGACTTAGGTGGTAGCATGTTTGCCTAGCATGTAAGAAGTTCCAGACTTGCTTTCTAGTACCATATAAAGCTAGGGATGTTGACATATAATCTCAACACTTGTCAGTAGAGGCAGGAGGAGCGAAATTTAGAGGTTGTCCTCTGCTGAGCAGTAAGTTGGGGCCAGTCTTCAAAATTGGAACCTGCTTTAAAAACTAATAATTTAAAACTTATGTAAATATGTTAAGAAAAAGAGAGGATACATGGGTAAGGAATGAAAGATTTTATGATTTTTTTTTTTTTGAGGGGGTAGGGAGGTTCAAAACAGGGTTTCTTTGTGTAGCCTTGGCTGTCCTAGAACTCTCTGTAGACCAGGCTGCCATCAAACTCAAATTTGCCTACCTCTGCTTCCTGAGTCCTAAGAATAAAGGTCTGTGCCACACTGCCAAGATATGTTTGTTTTTTAACTATTGCAAGCTTCTGTCAAATTTTTAAAAATTCCTTTAAAAATGTTTTTGTGTGTTTGTGTATAAATTGTCAACTGCTTACATTATACTCTATGGGTAGTCAGAAGCAACTCATGGGAGTTGGTTCTTCCGTACAGCATATGAATCCTTGGACCCAAACCCAGCTAATAAAGTAGTCTCCTTTGCTGACTGAGCCATCTCACCAGCATGTCAACATATTCTTATTATCTATCACTTGTAAATGGATGAAGGAATAAATTTTAAAAAGTTAAAATAACTCCAGTTTTCAGGCCAGTAGTGGTGCACACTTTTAGTCCCAACACTTGGAAGGCAGAAGAAGCAGGTGGATCTCTGTGAGTTTGAGGCCAGTCTGGTCTACAGAGCTTGTGCCAGGACAGGCTCCAGAGCTCCACAAAGAAGCCCTGTTTCGAAAAGAAAAACAAACAAACAAACAAAAAAAAAACCCTCCGGTTCTAGGTGATCTTATCCTCTTATGCATTTATACGTATGTACACATCAATAAAAAATAAAATATTTAAAAATTAGTGACAGTTACTATTTTAATGAGCGGTATTGAGGGGCTGGGAATGTAGAGCACCTTCCTAGTATGTAAATGGTATTGGTTCAATGCCCAAGAATTTTTTTTTTGATAGAAATTTTTTTTTTAAGAGAAAGCAGGGGGGGAAAATTCATTTGAAGTAAGCCCTGAATGAAATGAAGAAAACCATAGGAGACTGAGAAACTTTTCAATGTCAGAACCAGATACAGAGACACTTAGGCAGAGGCTCCAGCAGGGCCAGAGGAGTAAAGTGGGACCAGTGTGATCTGACAGGGGCAGAGCCACAACATGGCCTGTTTTTTTTTTTTTTGGATCTTGGTTACAAGTTTGAGCTTTGTTCTAAACGTGAGGAGAATTCTTGAAAGTTTTGAATGGGAACATGATCTAATTTACATTTTAAAAAGCTAGCTAGCTGAGAATGATGCCCAGCATCACTCTCCCAAGAACACTGTTGACAATTAAGACAATTAAGACAAAAATAAAAAGTAGCATTTAAAACCTCTGGAAATCTTGGAAAAGAAGTGCAGCAAATAAAAATCTTAATCATGAAAGTACAGTAAGATTCTCTCATTTTGCACTTCACCATCTTGTTCCTCTCTCACCTCAGGAACACGATAACCATATCCGCTCTGCAGACCGGTACGTAGTCAAGATGGCCTAGGAGAAATGGGGAATGGATCAAAGAATGAGGTCAAAATGTAGTTTATGAAAAAAATATTAGAAAGAAAATAGGGTTCAGGAAGGTCATTGACCCAACTCCTGGTTCCAGAGCAGAGACTCAGATTTTTGCCTGGAAGGAGCTACAAGCCATAAAACAGCTCTTCAACAGATGGAATCAGAAGTCCTCAAGCGGGGTCAGGATCCTAAGTACAGCATATTGTCTAGAGTGTCTAGTTTTCAACAACAACAAAATGTGGACATACACAGAAATAAAATACTATCTATTCACTGAAAAGAAAAAAAGCAGGCAACAGAAATTTCTAGTTAGTAACCATTGAAATTAACATATTAAACATTCCAGGTCAACCAGAGCTACACAGACAAACCTTGTCTTAAAAAAGTGGAAGAAAAAAAAAACATTTCAAAGTAGTCTTTTATTGCTATGTCCAACAAATTATAGAATATCATGCTTGCGGAACAGATATATACATGACAATAACATCAAATACTGTAGACAGTATAAATAAGGAAAACTGGAGAGATGAGTTAGCAGATAAGAATACTGACTGTTCTTCCAGAGGTCCTAGGTTAGATGCCCAGCACTCACAGGGTGGCTCACTGCTGTCTGTAACATTAATTCCAGGGACTCTGCCAAGCTCTTTTGATTTCCACCAGCACCAGAGGCATTTAGACAAAACTATCCCTAAGGAACTACATTGCTTTTAAAGAGTTACCTGAAAATTCTGGAACTAAAAAGTATAATAAGCAATAAATGTTTGGTAATAGTATTCAGAATGCCCCCTTGTGTAGCCCTTCCTTTTAATTTTTTTTTCTAAATTAATTATTTTATTATTTTTTTGTTTTGTTTTGCTTTTTTGTTTTTGTTTTTTTGAAACAGGATTTCTCTCTAGCTTTGGAGTCTGTCCTGGAACTAGCTCTTGTAGACCAGGCTGGCCTTGAACTCACAGAGACCCACCTGCCTCTGCCTCCCCAAGTGCTGGGATTAAAGACACGTGCCACCACTGCCTGGCTTATTTTATTAATTTTTAAGATATATTACTTAAACAGTAAGTTTCTTGGTTTTATTATCTGTATGATTTTTTTTTTAGCATTAAACAGTCTTAACTTAATTTTGCAGTTGTTCACTCTGGTTTATGAGCAACTAATGATAGAAACAAACAGAAAAGATAAAGTAAGTCATTGGAATACAGTACTTTTCTTTCTTAGGACTGACATACTCATGCTGTCAGCTTTACTCGCATGTCTCAGTTCATATATAAATCGAGGAGACTTATTACAGGAGATTGAGTCATAAAATATTTGTGAGCTTTCACTGTATTTTGCATCTGTTTTAACTTTTGGAAACAAGCACATTTTTTCTTAAGAAACATTATTAAACAGAAAACATTCATATCGTCATGTTGTTACCTATTTGTGAATATTGTTTTAGATTCATTCTGTACTATTTCATGGAAAACTGGAAGAAGAAAGCAGCTGCAGCCTTTGTTTGTTTTAGGACACCTGTTTGAGAGTGATGTCCAGCACACTGCCTTTGCTGATCCTTTGCTTCAGAACATGGACCTGCTTGAATCAGTGCTGGCCTCTTGCTTTGCTGATTGTGTTTGTGACCCTCAGATTGTAGGGAATGGAAGTGAGCAGCAGCTGCAGAAAGAGCTCGCAGATGTGCTGATGGACCCTCCCATGGATGACCAGCCAGGGGACAGGTCACAGCCAGATGGTGAAGGAGATGGGCCTCTTTCTCATCAACTCTCAGCTTCGTCTACCATCAACCCAGTGCCACTAGTAGGACTTCAAAAACCAGAGATGAGTTTGCCAGTGGAACCTGGACAAGGAGGTTAGGATTGCTGCATTGCTTATGTAACTGAAGGTTATTGTTTTTAATACTTGAGTGTTTCTGTCCTATACTAGATTCAATAATTTGAAAACCATTTAAGTTCTCTAAAAGCTCCAAATTGTAGACCTAAGAAAGAAGTTGTCAAATATTTATGCCATTCTGACCTTTCCTTTACCTTTTTCTATTATACCAAAGAATGAAAAACAGTAGTTGGTCACTGAATGTGCATTTGGCTTAGATGTAAATTATAAAATCAGAACAAATTAGGGAACAGAAAGAGGAGTCAGAACTGAATCTCAGGTTACATTTTGGGTTTGGAATTAACATCAGTGCTTGAAAATCTTGGTATTAGAGTTCAAGGGTAAGCTCTCTAGCTTCTATGGGCATTCTGTCTGTCTGTCTGTCTGTCTGTCTATCTATCTATCTATCTATCTATCTATCTATCTTATTTTGCCCACTGGAAATTTGGCATACTATATATACTTGATTTTTTTTAATGTAAATGTGTCTTTTAGATGTTTATTTGCTGTTCACATCAATACTATTCAAATAGAGAAGAAGAAGCATATTCTTATATTTTGTTTCTTTCAGATTCTCAAGTGTCAAGTCCTTTCACACCAGTGGCTGATGAGGATAGTGTGGTTTTTAGTAAATTAACTTACTTAGGCTGTGCCTCAGTAAATGCTCCCCGGAGTGAAGTGGAAGCCTTGAGGATGATGTCCATCTTGAGAAGTCAGTGTCAGATTTCTCTGGATGTGACCCTCTCAGTGCCGAATATATCTGAAGGAACTGTGAGGTAAGTCTGGCCTCTGTGAAGTGCTGTTGCACAAGGAAGCACTCACTAGTAGGTAACATATGCCATATTCATATCCTCCTCGAATTGCAACCCTCATGAGAAATGGATGTTCATTTGTACTTGCTCCACATCCCAATCCCATCCTGTATACACTATTAGAGATTTAAATGGTTTGGGGATAATTGAAACATACTGAGAATGAAAGAAAGATTTCCTCTTCTTTTTTTAAATGAGAAATCAGAGTCCCCGAGAAGTCCTAGAAATGAGTATTGTTTATTCAAAGACATAAAGATAGCCATGACGCCATGACATGATTGTTATCAACGAGTTAAATAAAGAATTGCTAATTCAGAAATATGTTTATTTCAGAAAAATAACATGAGTTAAAAAAAACTTTTAATTTTACTTTCTCGTTGATAACCAGTTAAAATCTTGCCTCATGTATACACTTTATAAAGGCCAAGGAAATACTGTGTATCACAAGGATATGAATTCAAAGGATTATGGCACTAGCTTATGATCCCAGTGCTAGGGAGGCCAACAGATCAGTCAGTCTCAGTATATGTATGTCTGTCATTCCCCCCCCCCCCCCCCCCCTTTTTTTTCTGTTTATGTGTTCTCTCTGTCTGGTGGGGGGGGGGGCGCTCACACACACTGTAGATGTCTCCTGAGCAATAGCTCCGAGTTAATCTTATATCTTCTTGTGTAGTCACATACCTTTGTGTATGTGTGTGCTCACCTTTGTGTTGCAGTAATAGAACCCTAGAGAAATGATTTTTAAAAAAGAAGTATTCATTTTGGTAAGTGGTTTCAGAGGTTTTAGTCCAAGGTCAGCTGCTCAGTGTCTCTCTGCCTGGTGAGGTAATATGTCACAGCAAAAGGCCTTGGTAGGGGAAATCTTTTATTTAGTTTATTTTATTACTCTTTTTCGTTTTTTGAGACAGGTTTCTCTATAGCTTTGGAGCCTGTCCTGGAACTAGCTTTTGTAGACCAGGCTGGCCTCAAGCTCACTGAAATCCACCTGCCTCTGCCTTCCGAGTGCTGGGATTAGAGGCGTGTGGTCAGTTATTGTGCAATTATTTAGTGCCTTATAAGTGGGTGGGTAATTTGCTCGATCTTAATTTCCTTAGGTATACTTATTGGCTCAAAAGTCTCCCCGATGTTACGGCTTTTATTGTGTTTAGAAAACAATTGATCCAGGCCTGGAGAGATGGCTCAGTGGTTAAGAGCACTGACTGCTTTTCCAGAGTACCTGAGTTCCAACTCCCGGCACCCACATGGCAACTCACACCTGTCTGTAACTCCAGTTCCAGGGAAACCCGACAGACATACACACAGGCAAAACACCAATAAACATAAAAGAAAAATAATAAATTATTAAAAATAATAATTGACCCAATTTTTACTTTGGTCAGTAGTTTCTGTGTTTTTCAATTCCCTTAGAAACATGCTGGGTTTTTCAGCCAGGCAGTAGTGGCACACGCCTTTAATCCCAGCACTTAGGAGGCGGAAGCAGGCAGGTCTCTTTGAGTTGGAGACCAGCCTGGTCTACAGAATGAGTTCCAGGACATATTCCAAAACTACAGAGAAACCTGTCTTGGGGGAAAAAAAAAAAAAAAAAAAAAAAAAGATTAATTGTGATTACTTTTAATGTGCATTTCAAAGGGAATACTTATTCTAACAACTGAAATTATACTTTGTATACTAAGAGTTTCCTTCAATAAAGAATTAAGAAAACATCTGTCTTGCCCCACATTCTCAGAGCCTTTGTGAAAGAGTCTTTAACCTGGATTAGAGCCCCTTTTGGGTTCTTCCATTTTGAAGAGGGCTCCTAGAACATTTCCCATTGATGGCTTTGCCTTGCAGTGTGGAAATTGTATAGTTACTTCTTGACCTTCCGTCACAATCTTTAGTGCCCTAAAGAGTCTAGAACATTGTAGCTATCACATAAATACTTGTGGAGTAAGTAGATTTGATTGGGTGATGTCCTTTTGACTTGCATTAACTATGCTTTGGATTTAATATGTGGTTTTGAGCAATGGTTTTTATGCTCAATCATGTACTGCAATTTTTTTTTACTTTTATAAACAGAACATTCTTTTAAAATGATAACCAGGTGCAAAGGTTTCACAGTCTGTTTAGTTAGTCTTAATTTAGTTAGTACTGGTTTTGTCTTTATTTTAGTTGCAGGCTACAAAACTCATGTTTGCTGATGTTGATACGTTTCTATCGGCCTCTCCCAAGCATGCACTTCTCTAGATTAACATGGAATTATATGATCAGTACCTTCAACATCCCTATGTGATTTATGTATCAAAATATAGTGTGCTTGGCTAGCATACTAAAAGTGGATTACATTATCATCTTTCTGGACAGATGTCTTGAGTCCTAATATAAATACAATATGTTACTCATAATAAATTTCTTTTTTTTTCTTTTTTTGTCTGAACAGACTTTTAGATCCTCAGACCAACACTGAAATAGCAAACTACCCTATCTACAAGATCCTCTTCTGTGTCAGAGGACACGATGGTACCCCTGAAAGCGACTGTTTTGCATTCACTGAAAGTCACTATAACGCAGAGCTCTTCAGGATACATGTATTTCGCTGTGAAATACAAGAGGCTGTAAGTCTTTACAAATGAGATTTCACCACCATTACTGCAAATGGCACAGGACAGGGAGATACTAAATGGGTAAAATGATCCTGGGGTTTGCTGGCTAGCCATTCTAGTTTAAAGAGACTTCCTGGTTCGATGAGAGAAGTATAGAATATATCAGAAAATAGAGAATAATGGATGAAGACACCCAACTGCAGTCTCTGACCTATGCACACACACTAGTGAGCACACCCATGCACTTGTACATGCAGTGCTGTAAGAGGCCTGATGGTGATCGGCTGAGTGGATTAGACCCACATTCTTACCCTGACAATGACACCTTTGCAAGCTGTTCTTCCTAAATTAGTTTTTCCTAAATTGTTAAAGCCATACTTCTTATTAAAAGTATATTTACATAGAATCTGACATTAAGGATGTGATTTTCTTTTCAGTTGAGATTTTTAATTGCGTATGTATGTATGTGTGTGTATTTTTTCACTGTTTTTAAAAAATCTCTCTGATGATTGTTTTAAAACCTAACAGATTAGATAATTAACTTAAAAAGTGGGTAAATGAAAGACAAGTGTTACTTTCTCTCAAGTAAATAAGTATTTACCTCAATAAAACTAATTTCTGCTTAACTTCTATGGTTATTATGACTGCACATTTGTGTATATGTTGGGGGATGTGGAGTTCAGTTGGCAACTTTGTGGCATCGGTTCCTTCCTTCCATCCTTAGGAGGGTTCCAGGGATCTGGCTCAGGTCTCTAGGCTTGCACAGAAACTGTCTCCACCTGCTTTGTCATCTCACTCACCCTCAGATGGGCTTTGTATAAAGTGTAGACCTCCTCATCAGAGCATACCCGGCATTTGGGAATGATTTCATTTTACCCCATCCTCCACCTCCCCCACCCCCCAAAAAATGTAACTGCTATTCTGAGCCATATCCCTGAATGTTGATTTTGCTTATTTCTCTTAAAGGATGTTTGTTGTACAACAAATGCTTTTGTGAGTCAGTGGGGGGAAGAGTGTCTCCTGTCTAATGTTTTTAACAGCCAATTTCCTGACATGTCTGCTTGTAGGTAAGCCGGATCCTTTACAGTTTTGCCACTGCCTTCCGCCGTACTGCCAAGCAGACCCCACTCTCAGCCACTGCCACACCGCAGACTCCAGACAGTGACATTTTTACCTTCTCTGTGTCTTTAGAAATAAAAGAAGATGATGGTAAAGGTTATTTTAGGTAAAGCCTCTTACCTGTTTATTTTGTGAATTTATTTAGTAAACTATTATCTGTGGTACAGAAGAAATTAGGTCAGATTAAATACCTTTCATACTTAAAATGGTTTTTCCTACAAGGAATAAGTCAGTGACAGCAATAAAAGTTGGAAAGATAGATTTATAGTGTCAGTGTTTAAAGAATTTTAAAGTGTTGAACTCATCTTAGAGACTACCTGTTACTTTATTATTTTAGTCAAAATGGCTCTAGCTGACTGATGATAAGAATTATGGCCTAAGTTAAGTAGACTACATTTAAAGCTAAACTTGTGTCTTAGGTTTACTATTGCTTTGATGACCAAAGCAACCTGGAAAGGAAAGGGTTTTTTTAGCTTATGCTAAATCACAGTTTATCATTGAAGGAAGCCAGAGAACTCGAATTCAAATAGGATAGGAACTTAAGAGTCAGGAGCTGGTCCAGAGGCCATGAAGGAATGCTGCTTACTGGCTTGCTCCCCATGGCTTACTCAGTCTGCTTTCTTATGAAAACCTGGACCACCAGACCAGGGATGGCTCTATCCACAATGGACTGGGCTGTCTCCCCCACCACCACCCGAGTCACTAAGAAAATGTCACTAAGATATTAAGAAAATGTCCTACAAGCTTGACTACAGCCAAACCTTATGGAGGCATTTTCTTTTTCTTTTTAATATTTATTTATTATGTATACAATATTCTGTCTGTGTGTATGCCTGAAGGCCAGAAGAGGGCACCAGACCTTACAGATGGTTGTGAGCCAACATGTGGTTGCTGAGAATTGAACTCAGGACCTCTGGAAGAGCAGGCAATGCTCTTACCCCCTGAGCCATCTCTCCAGCCCATGGAGGCATTTTCTTATTTGAGGTTCCTTCCAGATGACTTTAGCTTGTACCAAGTTGACAAAACTATTTAGCACAATTTGTCTTTGTTTAAAATGTGGTTTGTTTTAAAGAACTTAAGATTTTTGACATCCAGTTTTAGCACTAAAGTTTATCTAATCTTATTAGAAGGAGAAATATGAGTTAAAGATAATTTAAGTTTATGTTCTTTTCATTATTTAATTACATTCATTCATTCATTTATCCTTTGAGATAAATGGTCCTCGCTAGAATGCCAGGCTGGCTCACACCGTAAACTGGGTGTGGTGGCGCATGCCTTTCATTCCAGGATTTGGGAGGCAGAGGCAGGTGGGCCTCTGAGTTTAAGGCCAGCCTGACTTCCTAATCTACAGAGAAAATGCCAGGGCAGCCAAGGTTAATCAGAGGATGTCTGTCTTTTGGGTGTGTGTGTGTAGTGTGTGTGTGTGTGTGTGTATATATATATATATATTTGAGTAATAGGAAGGACCCAGAAATAAACATCAAAACTTGGGTTTAGTTGCTGATATTTCACCAGTGTGGCCATTTGGAAGTTCCTTTACCTTTCCTGTCTGCAGTTGCCTTATTCGTGAAATGCAGTAGCCAGAATTAGATTCTGAAGTTATGGTTGCAAGATGATGAGTTTTTTTCATATAGCTCATATCATAAAATGAGTGATCATAATTAATAATTGTATGTACAAGTCTCATCTATGGTACCTCATAAAATTGGTAGAATCAAATTATGAGGAAAATATATGATTTCTAATAATTTGTTAAGTGAAAAGCACAACAGTTGACTTTTTTCTTAAACTGCTGTCTCTGAACTTTTCACGTCATCTGGTGGCAAATTTTATTTAAAAAAAATAATATATATTACATTGTAATACAAAACAGTTTAGGAAAATTTACCCCTGAGAAACTTTCAAAATGATTGGTTGGTTGTCTGGCTGGCTGGAAGCTCAGTTGCTTTGATGACTGATTGATTTGATCTCATTTAACTTTCTGAGCAACTCAGGTGAAATTGTGCCTTGGCCTCCCAAGACTAAGGCATGATCTTAGCTTATAAGGTGTACAGTGGGAATTAAATGTAAAGGTCCTTGTTTGGGTAGTGTAGTCATAGGTCAAGAAATGTAATTTGGCCCCCGGTATTTACTCTCCATCTGCTTCCTACAATGCATCCTTTGAGGCCATGGCCTGGAAGACACTCTGTATATACTGAGTCATGTTGTTCTGTGGCACTGAAAACTGAACCCAGGACATATTAGGCAAGCACTCTATTGCTAAGCTGTATCTTACTCAGCCTGTTAGTGTTACAAGTTGCCAAAAGCATATTTGTTTACATTTAACCATCCTTAGACCACAGTAGGCTAAGGTTCATAAGGACAGTTGAAATTAAGGCCTGTCTGTAATGGATTAAATAAAAAAATTCTGCAGGGTCTTCAGCAGCTGCAGCAGCAAAAACACTGCAGGTCCTCTAGTGGTGCAGTGGGCAGCGGATCCCAAGAGCAGCCAGTCCTAGGGAAGGACTAGTGCAGGTCACTGAGTGGAGGCAGTGGGCCATGTGGCAGCAGGCAGCGAACAGCGGGTCTCAAAAGCAGCCAGTCTCAGGCAGGGACTGTACAGTTCCCTAAGTGGCTGCAGCAGGCCAGAGAGACAGATGGGCATGCCACAAGAAGGCTGGTCCCGGGCAGGGAGGGAGAGACAGACATGGATAGACAAGCCATGCAGAGTGAGGTTGGATATTTATTTAGTGGGTTATGGAAGGGAAGAGGGAGAAGGGGAGAAGAACACAGAGAGTAAGAGAAGTGGGGAGAGGAAGAAGCTGCTCTTTGAGAGGGAGAAGGAAAAGAAAGAAACTCAGGCTGCAGGAAGGAAGATCTGCCTGCCTCAGCAGATGGGGGAGGGATTGGGCATGGCTTGTCTCTTAAAGAGACAGAACAGATCATTACATTCCCATCTCTTTATTATAATAAAAAGGCAGGAGGTTAGGCACCTCAGATTAAAGGAATTGGTTCAGTGGATTATCTAGACTGCTTCCTGCTTTTTTGTGTACATTGTCTTTGGGGGAGGGAACCTGAGAAAGCTGGGTGCTGGTCACATCCTGGTGTAGCTGGTCTGTTTGTTCTTCCTGTACTGTGCTTATAGAAATGTCTGGTGTCTCTTACACCTTTTTAATGTATTGGCAGAACAGAGGACAAAGATAAGTTAAGGGAAAAAAGAACATGTTTGTCATTTCTAAACTCTGCTGGAATTTTTTTGTTTGTAATGAAAGTGTTGCAAAATATGGATTGACAAATGCAAAAATGCACATATATTCCAAAGTAGTATTTATGTGATGAATACCTACCAGTTTTCAACTACTCATGATTTTATCTGCCAAGTTCTGTTGCCATTAAATTAGTATTTTAAAGCAATAAGATAGTTTAGAGCTGCTGCATAAAAGCTAATTGCCACTGGTGCTGTCACGTTTGAGATCCGTGCAGCCAGAGAATATATGGGAGATTAGGCACTGGTTTTGGTAAAGAAGCATTTTATTTATTTATTTATTTGTTTGTTTGTTTGTTTATTATGTATACAATATTCTTTCTGTGTGTATGCCTGAAGGCCAGAAGAGGGCACCAGACCTCATTATAGATGGTTGTGAGCCACCATGTGGTTGCTGGGAATCGAACTCAGGACCTTTGTAAGAGCAGGCAATGCTCTTAACCTCTGAGCCATCTCTCCAGCCCAGTAAAGAAGCATTTTAAGACTTTTAAACTTTCTTAAGCTGGCATTTATTGGCTACCCATAATAACAACAGCAGTAGTTTTTATTTCATAAAGTTATCACTACCTTAGGACAGTAACTTGTCATGGTTAGGCAATAAATAAATTGGTTACCCTTTTTTCCTTCTTGTTATTCATACTCAGTTCTATTTTCTTTTTTGCTATTACTTGTAAACCAGACAGAAAACAATCAAAAATCTGAGACTTTAAAAGAATTGTTAAGGTGTCTGTCAAGAAAATTGACATTAATGAAATGTATTGGTCTTGCAGTGCTGTTCCCAAAGACAAGGACAGGCAATGCTTTAAACTTCGACAGGGAATTGATAAGAAGATTGTCATCTGTGTGCAGCAAACAGCTAACAAAGAACTTGCCATTGAAAGGTAAATATTTCTCTATGTTTATCTTAAATATGAGTTTTGGGTTTTATCTAGTAGAATAGTCATGCACTGTATTAAAAACTCACTCTCAAAATCTTTTCACTCCTTGGTAATTCTTTTCTGTTTTTTGTTTTTTTCAAGAGAGGGTTTCTCTGTGTAGCTCTGGTTGTCCTGTAACTAGCTCTATAGACCAGGCTGACCTCGAACTCAGAGATCTACCTGCCTATGCCTCCTGAGTGCTGAATTTAAAGGCATCTGCCATCCTACCTGGATCTTGGTAATTCTTTTGTATTTACTGTAATGTTTCATTACTCTGAAATTACTCATAAATCTTCAGTTAGTAGTGCTAATCTCCAGTATGTGGTAATTGTTATGGTAAAAATACAGTGCTGCAGGTCCCTGAGTGGCAGCAGTGGCCAACTTAGGCAGGTCAGCTGGTCACACGAGGAGCTGCTGGTGAGAGACAGAGACAGGGCGCGCCATGCAGCGTGGGGTTAGATATTTATTTAGTGGGTTATGAAGGGGAGAAGGGGAAGAGTAGAGAGAAGGAGAGGAGGGGAGAAGAAGAGAAGCTACCTCTTCAGGAGAGAGAGGGAAAGGAAGGAGCTCAGGCTGAAAGTGGAAGGAAGATCCTCTTGCCTTGGTGGACAGGGGAGAGAATGGGTGGCACTTGTCTCTTAAAGGGACAGGACAGACCATTACAGTAGTAAAAGACAAAGTTTGCTTAACTCAGGTAAAGATGATGATTGTGACAATACTGATTTATTAGAATGCTCCTTTTCCACCCATAAGAAAATTAATTAAGTACATAACTTAAAATATATGTGTATGCTGTTAGTTTTATCACGACTTTATGTCAGTTTTTTTTTTTTTTTTTCCAGGTGCTTTGGCCTTCTCCTTAGCCCAGGAAAAGATGTCCGAAATAGTGATATGCATTTGTTGGACTTGGTAAGGTTCTTGTCATAGGTTCCTTTGGTTGTGGTTGGTTCTTATTAGAAGATTATAAACTATTTCTATTTCATTAATATGTTGGTTTACTTTATCACACTGGACTCAAAACTTGTTTATCTAAATGTTCATTTAGGCTACAAAGCAATGCACAAGGATAAGGGAATTTCCTCCCTGCCCCCAAGGATTTACAAGTCTGACCTTGAATGAATAGCTCAGCCTTAGTGTCTTTTGCTTTGTTTTGTCTTTTGTCCCTGCCCCCCTCTCACCCCCCACCCCCAGACAGGGTTTCTCTGTAGCTTTTTAGCCAGTCTTGGAACTCCCTCTGTTCGAGGCTGGCCTCGAACTCACAGAGACCTCCTGCCTGTGCCTCCCAAGTGCTGGGATTAAAGCTGTGTGCCATGACCGAACCAGCCTTGGTGTTTGGACCTAGGTAGTACTGATAATAATTTTTATGTACTTATCAGGTAGGATTGATGTGAGAATCAAGCTGCTGTATATTTTATTCACAAGCAGAAGTAGTTGTGCATGGTGGCATATGCCTGTAACTTCAACACTTGGGAGGTTGAGGCAGTCAGTCACACAGTCAGACCTTATCTAAAAAAAAAAAAAACAAGTTCAAAACAGAAAACTGAAACAAAAATTCATGTAAGTAGTAGGAGGTATTAAGGTTATTGCTGTTATATGAAAATCTTTTGAAAAACTAAAAGTTACATGGTGATCATTCTCTTGACAGAAAATTCAACATAGGATTTTGAGAGGTAAATTACCCTGATTTTCTTTTCCATTTGATGTGATTTAAATACATTTACCTTATATAACTTTAGGAACAGTTATAAAAATAATTGACGTGTTTTAATCCTAACTGTAACCATTCAGTGTACTTCTGCCTTTAAACAAAACTCTGATTCTTGAGCTGCTTTACACAAGACTGCATTGGTGCCTTCTCTGTTTCACAATACGGTTCAATAGAAGTCCATTTTATTGTCTTTTGAGTTTTGATGGATGATGGGTGCCTGCCCTGTGGATTGTGTAGGAGTTGTATATGGTACCTTTGATACTGGGAATTCAATAAATCTACTTGAATATATTCAAAATGGCTTTGCTTTTTTGGTTATAGATATTGTACCTCCCAGGAGGAAGAAATGACATAGAAAGAACTGAGTATCAAACACTATAAATTATATCACCTTAGAATTAGAAATGATAGTATAGGAGTCCAGAAACTAGACTTGAATCATTTCTCCCACTAACCAAATTTTTTTTTTTTTTTTTGGTTTTTCGAGACAGGGTTTCTCTGTGGTTTTGGAGCCTGTCCTGGAACTAGCTCTTGTAGACCAGGCTGGTCTCCAACTTACAGAAATCCGCCTGCCTCTGCCTCCTGAGTGCTGGGATTAAAGGCGTGCGCCACCACCGCCCGCTCCACTAACCAAATTTTGTACTTAAACTGCTAATATGAAAATTAGATTTATTTATTTCAGATCATCAAGATAAAAATGAATATAAGGTTTTAGAGAGCCATTCAGATTTCATTAATGGTTTGCTGTATCATCCCAGAGAAGGCCAACCAATTGCAAGAGTGAGTAATTACTGTACCTGCAGTGATAAACTTGGAAGGAAGGCAAACAACTCATCCCCCCCCCCCCCAGAAAGCTTTTAAATTGATGGTCACAGAGGCAAATAGAACAGTCTAGTTTTATGCTTTTGTGGCATAATTGTCCTTTGAGTCAGAACAGTCATGCTTCATAAATACCTTCAAAATTATAGCTTTTATAGGAAGTGATTGGTTAATTTGGGTAATATCTTGACCAGTTAGCCTTTTCACATGGATTTAGGCTATGTAGTCAGGTCATCTGCAATTAATAAAAGTTATTTTACAACCACTGGTTATTTTGATACATGACAAATCAGTTTCAAATTACTCTATCTTTATTAGTTTTGAGATACTGGATCTCCCTCTTGCCTAGCATAGCACTCTCCCACAGTGTGGAATGTAGGAAAGACCATGAGCAGTTATTGTTCTGGGTAACTTGAAATGTACAATCTTTGCAGTACTTTAGATTTCTGGATGGTTTTAGTATATATTTTGGAGACTTCCACACTGTATATCAAATATATGTAAATTCTTAAAAATTACTACAATCCCTAACAAAATTATGTATTTTGAATTCCTGTTTTTAAAAGCCTCAAAATGAAGATAAGCCCACTTTTTCATTAAGGTTTACTTTTACTCTTTTCTTTAGGAGTCTATGGGCAAAAGTTCAGATGGAAAGTCATATGTTATTACTGGAAGCTGGAATCCAAAATCCCCACATTTTCAAGTTGTGAATGAAGAAACTCCTAAAGGTGGTGCAGAGTTTTAAGACTTACTTATTCTTATTTTACATGGATGAGTATTTTGGCTACATGTTTATCTATAAAACTATAAAACTATACCTGATGCTGACAGAGGTTAGAGAAGATGTCAAATCTATTGAAACTAGGTACAGATAATGATAGACTGCTGTCTGGATGGTGGGAATTCAACCTGACTCCCCCAAAAGAGAAGCAAGTACTCTTAACCATTGAGCCATCAGTATCAGCCCATGGGTGATACTGATTTTTTTTTGTTTGTTTGAGTTTTTGGTTTTTTAAGATGTGGACTCTGTGTAGCCTTGGCTCTTGTGAAACTCACTATGTAGACCATATTTACCTCACACTCACTGAGGTCCTCTTGCTTTGCCTCCCAAGTGCTGGGATTAATGGTGTGTGCCATCACCCCTGGCCTGATGATAGAAAATTTTAACATACACAGTTTTAGGAAACTTTGGCGAAACAATTTGAATAATTCTGAAGTTTTTTTCTAAATTTAACCTAAAAACAATATCACTTTTGGTTATTTGTTTTTCTTTCCTTCCTTTCTCTTTCTTTTTCCTTCCCTTTTTTCATTACACTTACATAGGTAAGCTGAGTAGTGGTGAAAAAGATTTCCGCTGCTTGTCTAATATTTTATTTTCCATGTCTGCGTACAGAATTTTCATAGTTAAGGTATCTTGAATACTTAACAATTAAAATCAATTACTTCTCCAGTGATTACATGAACAAATATATTTCCATATATTTCTTCTTTCTTGTTTCTCTCCCAATCTAGATAAAGTGTTGTTCATGACAACAGCTGTGGATTTGGTGATAACAGAAGTACAGGAGCCCGTTCGTTTTCTCTTGGAGACGAAAGTTCGAGTTTGTTCACCTAATGAAAGGTTGTTCTGGCCCTTCAGCAAACGCAGCACTACTGAAAACTTCTTTCTGAAACTAAAGCAGGTACTTTGTCCCCCAGGGGGATAAAAAAATAGGATCAAACCTGAGGCTGATCAATCATTAATCATTAGATCTTTCAAAGAGTCATATGCCTTTTAAATGTATTAAAAAGGAAAATAATTTAATAATGTTACTCACCTGTTGTAATCCAATTCTTTTTACCTTTCCTGAAGATCCAGGGTTCCATTTATCCTCATCCAAAGGAATTCAGAATTTCCTGCATGCATATTCTCCTCCTTGTCTTTATCCCACCCCTTTCAATATCGTGTTTTCACTGGATGTAAGGTTCTTCTCATCTTCCTCAGCTCCACTGATGTGTCTGATGAAGGATTTTTTTTTTTTAGTTCTGTGCTTACATTTTTCATTTCTGCAATGTCCAGCTAATTCTTATGGTGTGTTTTTCTTTTGTTTTATTTGTTTTTAGTTTCTTCTGAGAGTTTGTTCTCTTTTGAGCAGATTTTCTCTGACTTACTTGAGCATTATGTGCTACAACTCCTTCAGAAATCACTGAATGACCCTAAAGGGATGATGAGTAATATCTTCCCTTTGTTTGTCTGTATCATAGTCGTGTTAATTATTTAACAGTGCTGCTATATATTTAACAGATTCTATTGTGTTTTTCTGGAAAAGGTCATTTTCCTTTTTATTTTTTTCTTAGATGGCAGTTAACTTTGACAGGAGTCAGTTATTTATCTTACCTGTGATGGCAGTGACTGAAATATGGTGTGTTCTTTAGCCTTCCTTGGCTCTCAGTTTTCCACCACATACTGGTTCTTATTTTTTTTTAATTGATATTTATTGAGCTCTACATTTTTCTCTGCTTCCCTCTCCAAAGGTCCCCGTGCTCCCAATTTACTCAGGAGATCTTGTCTTTTTCTACTTCAAATGTAGATTAGATCTATGTAAGTCTCTCTTAGTGTCCTCATTGTTGTCTAAGTTCTCTGGGATTGTGGTTTGTAAACTGGTTTTCTTTGCTTTATGTTTAAAAAACACCTGTGAGTGAGTACATGTGATAATTGTCTTTCTGTGTCTGGATTACCTCACCCAAAATAATGTTTTCTAGCTCCATCCATTTTCCTGCAAAATTATACCTGTCATTATCTTTTTTCCACTGTGTAGTACTCCACTGTGTAAATGTACCACATTTTCCTTATCCATTCTTTGATCGAGGGGCATTTAGATTGTTTCCAGGTTCTGGCTATGACAAACAAAGCTGCTATGAACATAGTTGAGCACATGTTCTTGTGGCATGATTGAGCATCAGTGTTCATCAGTGAGATTAGTCTGTAATTCTCCTATTGTCTTTCTTTGGTTTGGGTATCAGGGTAATTGTAGCCTCATAAAAAGAGTTTGGCAATGTTCCCTCTGTTTCTATTGTGTGGAACAATTTGAGGAGTATTGGTATTAGTTCTTCTTTGAAAGTCTTGTAGAATTCTGAGCTGAAACCATCTGGTCCTGGTCTTTTTTTTTTGGTTGGGAGACTTTTGATGACTGTTTCTATTTCTTCAGCAGTTATAGGTCTGTTTAATTTGCTTATCTGGTTTTGATTTAATTTTGGTAAGTGATATTTATCCAGAAAGTTATCCATTTCTTTTAAGTTTTCCAATTTTGTGGAGTACAGATTTTCACAATATGACCTGATGATTCTCTGTATTTCCTCCGTGTCTGTTGTTATGTCCTCCTTTTCATTTCTGATTGTGTTAATTTAAATATTCTCTCTCTGCCTCTTGGTCAGTTTGGATAAAGGTTTGTCTATTTTGTTGACTTTCTTTCTTTTTAATTAATTAATTAATTAATTAATTATTTTTTTCCCATTAAGTATTTATATTTCCTCCCCTCCTCTTTTCCTCTAATAGGTGTGGTTGGGGCTGTCTGAGATTCTGTTGAATAATCTTCTAGGTATCAGTGAATCCAAAGCTCAGATGGTTGTTCCTCAAGGTACAGTCATTGTCACAGTTCTAGTTTCCCAGTTGGTTACTCCTGTTCCTGTAGATAGCTCTGTGCTATCTTGGAGTTTGCCGTCTTAGGCCTATTTTGGCCTAGGTTTCTGGCTTTGATCTGTTTCTGTATATCCTGGTCTGGAACCTGTCCTGCAGAAGTCCCTGGCTTGGAGTTGGACCTCTTCTGGTGGAGATTGCTGACTCTGGATCTGGTAGCTGGCTCAATCCTGATCCGCCAGCATTCTGGGACTGGATTGACTCCCAGGACTGGATTTGCCCAGACTGGCTTAAGTAAACTCCCTTGAAGGTCCCAGATTCCATGTCCAGACCCTCAGCTGTCTCTAGCTCTGGCTCACTCTTTCAGTAGTTTCAGTTAGCCAACTGGGTTGGCTCCTTGTTTCTGCTCCCAGTGGAGCTTGTTTCCCTGGTCCTTATTTTTAATTTCTTCATGGCTGCCTCTGCAATTGCTGCCATCTCCTTGTTCCCCTCCCTCTTCTTCATCATCCCTCATACCTCCTTTCCTTTTCTTCCTTCTTCATTTATTCTTGTTGAGCCAATATTCTGCTATTGACCAACACCATCAGCCTTTGTCTTCACTCTAATTTTCCTGTGTGGCCAAATTTCTTGAAGGAAGTCACAGTCCCTGTTGACCTAAATTGCTAGTCTGAGTTCTCAGCTCCTTCTACCTTTCTGTGGCATTTCTTCCTTAAATACATACTCCTCACTTTATTTCTAGGATGTCTCATACTTACTCCACTCTCGAATGCTCCACCTATCTATCTGCCTTTAGTGTTGCAGTTTATGGCCATTACCTAGTAATTTCTTAGTCCAAGAAATGTACTTTCTTATTCTTTGTGCTCCATACCCAGTGTTGGAGGAAATCCTGTTTACTTTCTGACATATTGTATGTCTGCCTACTTTTCTGCACCTGAATTATGTTAACCCTTATTCACTTGCCATATCATACCTTCTTTAGGTCAGACCTTATTTTTTTTTTTTTCTAATACAAACTCTTTATTTATCCTAATTTTTTTTTTTTTTTTTTTTTTT